CACAAACACAAGAAAAAGAAGTCCAAGAAGAGCAAAGATAAAGAAAAGGAGAAGGAGAAAGATGACCAAAAAGTGAAATCTGTCCCGGTATAAAAGGACAGATTTTTAAAAATTGACTTAATTACTAAGTCATCTGTATTAAATTTTGTTATAATGTAAAGAGATTCAAGCCTTGTAAATAATGATATGGAAGACCCTGTGCTGCACTTAAAATATTGCTGCTTGATTATTTGATTTTTACATCAGAGCTTTATAACACGAACTTTTGTACAGAATTGTGAGTTGTGACCATGTAACATGAGAGGTTTTGCTAGGGCCTATTATTTTTAACCACCATTAATTAGTTGGGGTGGAGTTTACTGTACTGTGAAATTTTCACATTTGAATTTTTTTAATTGCCTGGCAAAAGCTGGTATCAGTTCTAAAATATCAGCAGAATGATTTGCTGAATTCATTACAACCCCGTTATGTCACTTTTTGATTACAATAAAAGTTTTCAGTAAACTTTTCAAATGTCGAATATCTGTGTTATTTGAAGGAAGTGTGTCATGTCTCTTCCCCCTTCCATTTCCTCATTTAAAATAGCCTTTGAGCCTGTAGTATAAGCTGCACCAAATATGCAAAATTACGAAGTAAACATGGTAGGTAGACTTCATCAGTGGGCTGGTAGTAGGTGGCCAGAAATAAGAAATCAGGATTAATTGGAGAGCTAGTTGAAAAAAATCTAAAAGGGTCTTACAGTAATTCGAAGTTTGGACTTGAATTTTAGCGATGAGGAATTGTGATTTGTTTATGGTTCTTTTTCTTGAAACCCTGATGAGTGTTAAATTCCTCGATAAAGTGCCAGCTAAAGCACACAGTCATGAGCGTCTGTGGCCTGCCTGGTCTGCCCCATTGACAAGAGCAAGCAGGAGGAGGTCCAGGAGCACTGGGTTAGACTATAATGGGCTCTTTGGGGCTGTGGTTCAGGAAGTTATCGTAGGCAATGAAAAGCTATTGAAAGGGTTTGGGGAGTTAGGGTAAGAATGGTACCTCAGAAACACGGCAGTATGAACAGGGATCAAGATGACAGCGGCTGGAAGGAGGAAAAGAGACCAGCTCCAGTCTGAGGGTGGTCCTAGGGTTCCCCAGGACTGTTAATAGTGGGAGAGGAAAGGAACTAAATTAGCAGCAACTTGCTTCTATGAACCTCCTGTGTCTGTGCCTTTTAAAGGATTTCCAGGCTGGGCCGTGTGGACAGTGTGCAAAAATACTTCAGAGTGTGTTTTCAATGTAACTTCTAATGTTTAAAGAAAAATGATTTAAAGAGATTAATGTGGGTGTCACAAATGCTGTTGACCTCATGTAAGCCATTCAGGACTGAGTTAAGTTTGTTACATGTTTGTCAAAAGTTAAGTGTGTTAAAATAAGTTAAGTGAAACCAACTTTCCTTTAAAGGGCTGTCACTGGGGGTGAAGGTGTCTGTTGTGCCCCCTTGAAGCCCAACCACACCCCACCCCACACAACACATAACGACCACTTCTACTCTGAGGTACTCCAGCTAGACTACCCTCTTCATTCGTACTAATCAGGACCCCAGATCTAGATCGTATCTCCCACATTCACTGAGGATTTTAGCACCCGGGACTCTTTATCATAAACTTCATCAGGTGAGGTCAGTTTCCTTACCTAGGTAGGCTCCTGGCCTTTCATTTTAATCTCAACTGACGTTCCCTTTAACAGCCATCCACTCCTAGGACAGTTTTCCAGAATTCATCATCTTTGGCTATTGGTTTAAGTTTAAACCAATCTTTTCCTGCATCCTCTACTGGCCTTAGGCCTAAGGTTCTTTTTTTTTCTTCTTCTTTTTTTATTATGTTATGTTATTCACCATACATTACATCATTAGTTTTTGATGTAGTGACCCACGATTCATTGTGCATAACATCCAGTGCTCCATGCAGAACGTGCCCTCTTTAATACCCATCACCAGGCCAACCCATCCTCCCAACCCCCTCCCCTCTGGAACCCTCAGTTTGTTTCTCAGAGTCCATAGTCTCTCATGGTTCATCTCCCCCTCTGGTTCCCCCCCCTTCATTCTTCCCCTCCTGCTATCTTTTTTTTTTCTCTTAACATATATTGCATTATTTGTTTCAGAGGTACAGATCTGTGATTCAACAGTCTTGCACAATTCACAGCACTCACCATAGCACATACCCTCCCCAATGTCTTATCACCCAGCCACCCCATCCCTCCCACCCCCCACTCCAGCAACCCTCAGTTTGTTTCCTGCGATTAAGAATTCCTCATATCAGTGAGGTCATATGATACATGTCTTTCTCTGATTGACTTATTTCACTCAGCATAACACCCTCCAGTTCCGTCCACGTCATTGCAAATGGCAAGATTTCATTCTTTTTGATGGCTGCATAATATTCCACTGTATATATAGCACATTTTCTTTATCCATTCATCTATCGATGGACATCTTGGCTCTTTCCACAGTTTGGCTATTTTGGACATTGCTGCTATAAACATCGGGATGCACGTACCCCTTCAGATCCCTACATTGGTATATTTGGGGTAAATACCCAGTAGTGCAATTGCTGGATCGTATGGTAGCTCTATTTTCAACTTTTTGAGGAACCTCCATACTGTTTTGCAGAGTGGCTGCACCAGCTTGCATTCCCACCAACAGTGTAGGAGGGTTCCCCTTTCTGCGCATCCCCGCCAACATCTGTCGTTTCCTGACTTGTTAATTTTAGCCATTCTGACTGGTGTGAGGTGATATCTCATTGAGGTATGAGATTTCCCTGATGCCGAGCGATGTTGAGCACTTTTTCATGTGTCTGTCGGCCATCTGGATGTCTTCTTTGGAAATAGGCCTAAGGTTTTAACTCCTCCCTTACTCTTCCATCCTATGATTGCCTGAACCCCGTCATTTGCACCACACGACACTCCCCACATCTGCTCCCCCTTCATCTTCCTGAACCTAAACAGCTTAACTCCTAAGCCTAAATAAGGGTGCTGAATGGGCTGCTTAATGAAATTAAAGGCTTGAAAGAAATGTAAGAAGTAACTGCCAGGCACTGTGATAGGTGCTTGTATTTATTTGATCTTAAAAATTCTAGCTTTTGATGTCTGATACTACTTTGAGGAGGAAATTCTACTACTTCTGAAGGTTCAGTCCAGCCTTGGGTACTCAAGCCTCGGCACCTAAGTAGCCCAACTCACCCCTGCCATGTAGAGAGGAGTGGGACATAACATGTTAAGACTCATCTATTTTTGCTGGACCCCAGAAAGGCCATGTTCTATTTCCATGTCTTCTGTGCTTGGCTGTTTTCGTCTGGCTGGAGTTTTCTTCCTCCTCTGCCTGTCTTACAGTTTCCTACCCACTGTTCAAGAATTAGCTTGCCTTTTTTTTTTTTTTTTTTTTTTTTTAACTATTCCCTCACGGTGCCTGCCTGCCCACCCCCACACACAACCAGGATGGAATAGCATCACTGAAGATGCTGTGAGGACACGCCAGTTGTTTTCTGTGGGCTCTGGTTGTCTTCCTCAATGGACTGAGAGCCTCAAAAGGAATGTGGGTTTATATTCCAGAAGCCAAAACACACCTTGCACATTACAAGGTTAATAATTGATAAGATGAAATAAATTTTTTTAGCTTGAAGTTAAATTTTGCTAACTTCCTGGAAACCAGCGATACGTCAACATTTTTAAGGGAGGAAAATAATTTTTGAGCTACTATAGACTTGGAAGATAGTATCCTTCCAATAACCGGCTGCTTCAGTGTGCCAAGGGTATTGCAAAGCCTTACTTACGATCAGGGGCCCAAGAATAACTCCTTTGCTAGTCTCAGCATGCCAAATGAGCGCTAAATCCCCTCCAAAATTTTTAAGCCTGGAATTTCAGAGTTAGATAGCTAGTGAATGGTTTATTCATCCCAATTTGTTCAAGTGTCCCCATCTGTCTTGTCCACTTTTTCCTGTCTTTAACTCCTTTAATGAATGTTGTTCCTATTGTACAAAACTACATGGAACAAAACCCCTGGTTTGGAGCAAGCTCTTTCTTCTCTGAGCCCTTTTATACCAGTGCTATTTATGTAAGCCAATTTATGCAAGCCAACAAAGCCTTACTAATACGTAGATACATGTATATATAGTGTGCTCTGCTTTCTCTCTCTATATATCATAAACAGGTCTTTTTGGCGTTAACATTTTTCATTAATTTTCTGTTGCGAATGATCATGAAAGAATTGAATAAAGTAAGCCACTTAAATCCTTAAAGGGTAATGTGGCTCTGCTGTGTGTGAATAATGGTCAGCACACTAATATGAAAAATGGGGTTAACAGGAATGTTCAGAGATTTCATGAGAATTCTTTTCAGTAATGTAGTCTAAACACTTGATCAAGGCTTCTCTTTGTTACGGGCTTCTGACATTATTTTTACGATCATGTTAAAAGGACTTTTAAAGAATAGCTCTTGCTAATTTTTTTTTTTTTAAGATTTTTATTTATTTATTTGAGAGAGAGAGCACATGAGAGGGGGGAGGCTCAGGAGGGTCAGAGGGAGAAGCAGACTCCCTGCCGAGCAGGGAGCCCGATGCGGGACTCGATCCAGGGACTCCAGGATCATGACCTGAGCTGAAGGCAGTCGCTTAACCAACTGAGCCACCCAGGCGCCCAGCTCTTGCTAATTTTTACAGTTAAAAAAAAAATTGATGGGGGGCGCCTGGGTGGCTCAGATGGTTAGGCGTCTGCCTTCGGCTCAGGTCATGATCCCAGGGTCCTGGGATCGAGTCCCGCATCGGGCTCTCTGTTCCTTGGGAGCCTGCTTCTCCCTCTGCCTCTCTCTCTCTGTCTCTCATAAATAAATAAATAAATAAAATCTTTAAAAAAAAAAAATTGATGGGTGAACAGTGATCCCATTTTAGAACCCACATCGGAATGAATCTTGCTTTTCCACCCAGAAATGTGGCTACTTAATAATTTGCTATGAAGCTAGCTTGGCCAGTGTGGATCTTTTTCAATTTAGTTCTTCATTTTTAAAGTCTAAAGTAGTAAGAGATACTAGTAAAAGAATGGACATACCTTTAGAATTCAAAGTAGTTTTTGTAGAAACATTGACACCTTAAAATTTTGGTAATTATTTATAAATATGTTTTAACATTGGCTTAATGACCTATAAGTAGATCTGGTAGACCGATTCCTTTTCATGGCCTAAAACTTAAAACTAATAAAAACAAGTTGGATGAAAAGTGAACGAACATAGGAGGAAACTCTATCAGTGCTAGAGTCTAGGGAAAGGATGGGAGGGGCAGACAGCCAGAGATGTGGAATTTTGCCACAATGCCACATTTTAAAAGTTGTGTTTTTGTTTTTGTTTTTTAAGAACTAAAGACAAGATGCCCAGAACTCTCTTCCTTGAAAAAGCAGATGGCCTCTTGGGAAGTGCAAATAGAAGATCTTGGGCAATATGAACGCCTCATAATCTGGAGGGACAATGGTAGGTTATGGAGCATATGAGGAATACTCCCTTTGTGGTCATTTTAATATGATGGAAATTGCACAAAGGAAACCTGAAGCATAGGCTACGACTTTGATGGGGATAGGGGAAGGTTCCAACCAAAAATAGATGTGCTGTATGTGGTCTCAATGCCAGGAAGGAGGTCAGACCACAGAGGCTTCGTTCCCCTGGCTATTATGGGGCGGGGGGGGGGAGATAACACAATATTCTAATCATGATAGTGTCTCTACTAGAACAGACAAATTATGGAATTGAATGAAACTCCAGAAATTGGCCCAAATAAAAAAGTATTTGATGACAGTTTCAGCATAAATAAATATGAAAAAGGTCCATTTTACAGTAAGTAGCTTTGAGAAAACTGGATTACCATTTAGAGAAAAATTTTTTCACACCTGAAAATTCTAGATGGATTAAATCTTTTTATCAACAATTTTATTTTACATAACCCAAGTGTTGGTCAGTTTTCCTTTTTCTAGGATCAACTTCTCTTTAATAGCTTAGGTCTTTTTTTCAAACTGGCCAATCACCTGGAAACCCAAGATCTTCCCCAGTATTTCTGATAGTGCTTGTGAGATGTGGTTTATCTTGGTCTGCTCCTTTCTGATTCCCTGACATCTATTCCTGGTGCTGATTGTTCTCTTCAGATCTCACTATGGTAGAGTCTTGGTCTTCATAAGTTTTATGACATTTCCCTCAGAATACATCACATCCTCTCACTTACCCTGTGTTCAACGTCTCTTCTTCTTTTCTGTCCTACACCATAGGCTCTCCATCTTTTAAGGTATTTTTCTGAGCCAAGAAACAATTGCCCTGTGATGAATTATACCATTAGAGAGCAGAAGAAGCTGCAGGCAGTTCTTTAAAATAGCAACTCTTTTCTTCCCTCTACAATTTTTAAAAATTACAAACTCAACTATTATACAGAATACAAATGGCCAATTGACATTTGAAAAGGTTAAATGTCACTGGCAATAAAAATGCCAGTAAAACAAAGTTCCATCGCCTTCAGGCATTTAGAGTTACCTGCAAGTCCAAAACCAACCCGATTCTCCCTCCTCCCACCACCTTGGCATTTCCATCAGCATTTGTCTGTGGTGGTTAGCTTTTCACTAAGTTTGCTCAGATCATAATATGCATCCTCAGTTTGCAGGCTTTTAAAATGTGTTTTGCTTTTATTTCTAACAAAGCCCTACAATGATTAAAAAGTCATAAAGTCCTTCAGAACATAAAACACTTGAGCCTCCTGCGCCAACCGCACTGCACCCTGACTCCAGCTCTTCAGATGCAATCAATTCCAACTCTTCTAGTTCTTTCTTTAAAAACAAAACAAAAACGTTGTTGAATATAAAAAGTGAACTCTTACCTTGATGTTTCAGTTTCAAGTATTAGCTACTACTGACTTTAGCTTATCTCCCTCCCCACACCACCCCCACACATGTATCTTTTCCCATCCTCCAAAAAAAGTTCCCATTTGGACTACATTGAAATGGTGTGAACATTATTAGGTCTTGGGGCTCCTGGCTGGCTCAGTAGGTAAAGCATGCAACTCTTGGTCTCAGGGTCATGAGTTCAAGTCCCATGTTGGTGTAAAGCTTACTTAAAAAAAAAAAAGATGATGGGAGACATTATTATGTCTTTACATCTGTAGTTCAAGATCAAGTCATTTGGTATATTAGGATTCTTTTTCCTGTAAAATTTTGGTTTCCCTGGAATTAATAACTGACTTATTTTTTTAAAGTGTTCCCTGTCCTATAGATTACCAAGAAATGTAAATCTCTCCTCAGTATATTCAAATGAATCAAGTGCTCTTTCAGTTTTATCTTTTTTCTTGTGATAACTCTTCTATAAAAATTGGTTGTCCTCTAAGCCAGCCACACAGCTCTGACCCTGCAAGCTTCTTTACTACCACCCTGGGGATTTTCCTCACCCTCTCTATGCAATGGATCTCTGTGTCTTCCATCCTGTTTCCTTCTCTTTCCAGGTTGGCTGCCTCACTTGGGGTGAAGGGCACATGTAGATTCTTGAGAAGGGCTGCGTGAAGAGGTAAATTTTTTTGAGAGCTTACAATATCAAGAATGTTTTTACTCCACTGCCACACTTGATTTATGGTTTGGGTACAGAATCCTAAGTTGGAAATTATTTTCACTCAAACTTGCAGACATTGCTTATAATACAGCTTCCAGCATTGCCGATAAGGACTTCAAAGGCATTGTGACTCTTATCCATTTTTGTGACTTTTTTTCCCTCCCAGGATACTTTCGGGAACTTCCTTTTATCCTGAGTACGTTAAAAATCTGATGATGTGTGTTGATGTGAGCCTTTTAAAATTTATCTTGCTGAGTGTTCTATGAGCCCTTTCAGTCTGGAGACTCAGCTCTTTCAGTTCTAGAAACCATCTTTTATTACTTGTGAGATAATATTCTCCATGTTTTTCTGGGACATATTTATTTATTTATTTTTAAAGATTTTGTTTATTTGCGAGAGAGAGTGCATGACCCTGGGGTAAGGGGGTCAGAGGGCGAGGGAGAAGCAGGTTCCACGCCGAGTAGGGAGCCCGATGCAGGACTCGATCCCAGGACCCCGGGATCATGACCTGAGCCGAAGGCAGATGCTTAACCCACTGAGCTACTCAGGCACCCCTGGGACATATTATTTAGATGTTCAATTTCCTGGACTGATTCTCTGATTTTCTTACTTCTTTTCTCCTATTTTCCATCCCCGTTTTTTGCGAAGTTTCCTCAACATATTCCAATTTTTATTTCTGCTAGCATATTTATAATCTCTCAGAATTCTTTTTTGTTTTCTTATTGTTCCCTTCTTATAAACACCCTGTTCTTTTTTCATGGGTATAACTGGGTTGGTAAAGATGTGATAGGTTGTTGTTGTTGTTGTTTTTAAGGTTTTCCTATGCTGCTTGCATTAGAAACTGTGTGCAAGCTTTGTCAAGTGGGTTCTATTGATCTGATCTGATTAGATCATCTCACTAGGGGATCCCCAGCCGCAAATGTCTTCCAAGCATTTTCCTTTTTTGAAAAATAATTTAAAAATTTAATTCCAGTACATTAACGTACAGTGTTCAGTTAGTTTCAGGTGTACAATATAGTAATTCAGCAGGTCCATACATCACTCAGTGCTCATCATGGTAAGTGTACTCTCGAGCATTTTTCTTGGGCTAGTTTCCCGAGGAAGGAATTCTCCACTCTTCAGTGTGGGCTAGAGGAGCAGTATAATTACCATCCAGACTACCAGGAACTTTTTTGGAGATAAGTAGTCTCCATTAAATATAAAGGCTTACATTTGATCTCCCTATTTTGATTACAGCACCCCTGCTTACAGCTATTATGCCTGATGTCCTCGAATGCAGGGGCTCTCCCATTCAGCGGTTCTCCTAAGGGCTGCGTACTGGAATTACCTGGGGACCTTTAGCAAATACTGAAGACTGGGTGGATGCCACCCCCAGAGTTTCTGATTTAATCATCAGGGTGTGACCTGAATGAACATCAGGCTTCTTAGAATCTCCCAGGTGATTCCAACATACAGCCAAAGTTGGGAACCACTGCTTGGGTTGCAACCCTCCAGAGAGTTAGCCTGCATCCTTCTGCCCGAGTGAGCGGCTTTGTACTCCCCCTTTTGGCCCTCTCTGCATTGCTGCTTTCAGTAGTACTTGGCTATCAATGTACTCTGGATCTTCTGGGCTTCTGTGTTATGAACAATCTGTCTTTGGGCTTCTGATTTAGACCTCTGATTTTCTGGTCCTCTAGGTTAGTTACCACTTCCATATGAATTTCACCTTCTAAAACTTGTGATTTCCTATTCTTGTTCTTGTTCCTTCATGCCTTTTCCCCTCTTCATTATCATCAAGGTGCACTTTTAGGAAGGAGCATATTTAGGAGGTAAATATATGCAGTCCACCACGTTTAACTGGAATTCCTCAATCCTACTCTCTGTGATCAATAATAGAATTAAAATATCTGCCGGTGACTTGCCCTTTAGTGTTATGTATGCATATGTCTATGTGTGTGAATATATGAATATGAAGAACTTTCAACACCTTTTTGTATAGCTTCCCTCAGTAATTACCCACTCACCCCAGGTAAACACTCTTATTAGGTACTTGTATATCCTTCCAGAGCTTCTTTTTTTTTTTTTTTCAGAGCTTCTTAATATATATACGTGCACACATACACACTGTCTTATTACTTTTACTTATACAAATAGCTTTAGAACAAAATAGTACGGAGCACGCCATTTTGCCCTTTGCATTTTTCACTTACCAGTATACTTGGACATCTTTCTTTATCAATGCATAGAAAATGTCCCTATTCTTTTCTATAGCTGCATAATATTACATTGTGTATAAATTTAACATTTAACTGGTCACCTATTGATAATTTATATTGTCAGCTACTGCTATTAACATACAGTGTTAAGTACACTAATACTGAATTCAGTAGTGCTTTTCTCTTAGTCCAATTATTGTTTCAAATACTCAGACATCACAGGCTATTTTTCTTTTTATTTTAAGCGTTTTTACTGAGATTTAATTATCACACAGTAAACGGCACCTGGGTGGCTCAGGCAGTTAAGCGTCTGCCTTTGGCTCAGGTCCCAGGGTCCCAGGGTCCTGGGGTGGAGCCCCACATCGGGGGGGTCCCTGCTCAGCGGGAAGCCTGCTTCTGCCTCTGCCACTGCTCCCCCTGCTTGTGTGTTCTCTCTCTCTGTCAAATAAACAAACAAACAAATAAATAAATAAATAAAATCTTAAAAAAAGATAATGAGCATATCTGTCACCTCTAAATATTTTCTTGTGCCTTTTGTAAGGCCTCCTCTTACCCTTCCCCAACCTCATCCCCCAAGCAACCACTGATATGCTTCCTGACAGTGTAAATTAATTTGAATTTTCTAAACCTTCATATACATAGAATCATACAATTGGTATTCTTTTTTTTTTTTTTTTTTTGTCTGGCTTCCTTCACTCAGCATAATTATTTTGAGATTCATCCCTGCCATGGTATGTATCATTTCTTTTCTTGCTGAGTGGGATTTTTTTTTAAGTTTATTTTTCTTTGTTTATCTGTTCACCTACTGATGGACATTCAGGTTGTTTCCAATTTTTGAATATTACAAATAAAGCTGTGATGAACATTCAGGTACAAGTCTTTTATATGTATTTATGCTCTCTTTTTTTTAATTTTGCATCTTTTGCAATTTTTTTATTAACATATAATGTATTATTTGTTTCAGGGGTACAGGTCTGTGATTCATCAGTCTTACACAATTCACAGAGCTCACCATAGCACATACCCTCCCCAATGTCCATCATTCAGCAACCCCATCCCTCCCACCCCCTTCACTCCAGCAATGCTCAGTTTGTTTCCTGAGATTAAGAGTCTCTTATGGTTTGTCTCCCTCTCCGGTTTCGTCTTGTTTCATTTTTCCCTCCCTTCCCCAGGATCCTCTGTCTTGTTCCTCAAATTCCTCATATCAGTGAGATCATATGATACTTGTCTTTCTCTGATTGACTTATTTCACTTAGGATAATACCCTCTAGTTCTATCCACGTCAGTGCAAATGGCAAGATTTCATTTTTTTTGATGGCTGCTTAATATTCCATTGTGTGTGTGTGTGTGTGTGTGTGTGTGTGTGTGTGTGTATACCACATCTTCTTTATCCATTCATCTGTTGATGGACATCTAGGCTCTTTCCATAGTTTGCCTATTGTGGACATTGCTGCTATAAACATTGGGGTGCATGTGCCCCTTCGGGTCACTACATTTGTATCTTCGGGGTAAATACCCAGTAGTGCAATTGCTGGGTCATAGGGTAGCTCTATTTTCAACTTTTTGAGGAACCTCCATACTGTTTTCCAGAATGGCTGCACCAGCTTGCATTCCCACCAACAGTGTAAGAGGGTTCCCCTTTCTCCGCCTCCTCGCCAACATCTGTTGTTTCCTGACTTGTTAATTTTAGCCATTCTGACTGGTGCGAGGTGGTATCTCATTGAGGTTTTCATTTGTATTTCCCTGATGCCAAGTGATGTTGAGCACTTTTTCGTGTGTCTGTTGGCCATTTGGATGTCTTCTTTGCAGAAATGTCTGTTCATGTCTTTTGCCCATTTCTTGATTGGATTATTTGTTCTTTGGGTGTTGAGTTTGATAAGTTCTTTATAGATTCTGGATACTAGCGCTTTGTCTGATATGTTGTTTGCAAATATCTTCTCCCATTCTGTCAGTTGTCTTTTGGTTTTGCTGAGTGTTTCCTTTGCTGTGCAAAAGCTTTTTATCTTGATGAAGTCCCAGTAGTTCATTTTTGCCCTTGCTTCCCTTGCCTTTGGTGATGTTTCTAGGAAGAAGTTGCTGCGGCTGAGGTCAAGGAGGTTGCTGCCTGTGTTCTCCTCAAATATTTTGATGGATTCCTGTCTTACATTTAGGTCTTTCATCCATTTTGAGTCTATTTTTGTGTGTGGTGTAAGGAAATGGTCCAGTTTCATTCTTCTGCATGTGGCTATCCAATTTTCCCAGCACCATTTGTTGAAGAGACTGTCTTTTTTCCATTGGACATTCTTTTCTGCTTTGTCGAAGATTAGTTGATCATAGAGCTGAGGGTTCATTTTTTGGGCTCTCTATTCTGTTCCATTGATCCGTATGTCTGTTTTTGTGCCAGTACCATACTGTCTTGATGATTACAGCTTTGTAATAGAGCTTGAAGTCCAGAATTGTGATGGCACCAGCTTTGCTTTTCTTTTTCAACATTCCTCTGGTTATTTGGAGTCTTTTCTGGTTCCATACAAATTTTAGGATTATTTGTTCCATTTCTTTGAAAAAAGTTGATGTTATTTTGATAGGGATTGCATTAAATGTGTAGATTGCTCTAGGTAGATTGCTAGATTGTCTAGCATAGACATTTTCGCAGTGTTTGTTCTTACAATCCATGAGCATGGAACGTTTTTCCATTTCTTTGTGTCTTCCTCAATTTCTTTCATGAGTGTTCTATAATTTTCTGACTATAGATCCTTTACCTCTTTGGTTAGATTTATTCCTAGG